TAACAATAAAAGGTGTTGAAGTAGAAGTAGTAGTAGTAGTAGTAGTAGTAGTAGTAGTAGTAGTATTAGTAGTCGTGGTCGTGGTAGTGGTAGTGGTAGTGGTAGTGGTGGTATTAGTAGTCGTCGTCGCCGTAGTAGTAGTAGTAAAGTAGTAGAAGTACTAGTAGCAATAGTAGGTGAAGTAGTCGTAGTAGTAGTAGTAGTAGTAGTACTAGAAGTAGTAGCAGCAGTAGTCGTAATGGTAGTAGCGGTGGTAGTAATAGTAGAAGTAGTAGTCCTAGCAGCAGTAGTAGTAGTAGTAGTAGTAGTATCAGTAGTAGTGGCAGTAGTAGTAGTGCTACTAATAGTACTAGTACTAGTTATGGTGGTAGTAGTAGTTGTAGTATTAGAAGCAGTGGCTAGTAGTAGTAGTAGTAGTAGTAGTAGTAGTAGTAGCAGTAGTAGTAGCAGTGGTAGTAGGAGTAGAAGTCGTTTTATCAATAATAGTAGTAGAAGTAGTAGTCACAGTAGTAGCAGTAGTAGTAGTAGTAGTAGCAGTAGCGCACGAAGAATTAGCAGTAAGTATTAGCAGTAGTTGTAGCAGTAGTAGTAGAAGTAGCAGTAGCAGTAATAGTAGTAGTACTGTCGGTAGTGGTAGTTGTACAGGTAGTAGTAGTAGTAGTAGTAGTAGTAGTAGTTGTTGTTGTAGTAGTAGCAGTTCTAGTCGTACTAGTAGTAGTAGTAGTAGTAGTAGTAGTAGTAGTAGTAGTAGTAGTAGTAGTAGCAGTCGTAGTAGTAGTAGTAGTAGTAGTAGTAGTAGTAGTAGTAGTAGTGGCTAGTGGTAGTAGTAGCAGCAACAGCAGTAGTAGCAATTGTAGTTGTAGTTGCAGCCGTCGTAGTAGTTGCCGTCGTAGTAGTAGTAGTGGTCGTAGTAGTAGTAGTAGTAGTAGTAGTAGTAGTAGTAGTAGTAGTAGTAGTAGTAGTAGTGGTAGTAGTAGTAGTAGTAGTAGTAGTAGTAGTAGTAGTAGTAGTAGTGGTAGGAGTGGTAGTAGTGGTGGTAGTAGTAGTAGTAGTAGTAGTAGTCGCTTTAGTAGTAGTAGTAGTAGTAGTAGTAGTAGTAGTAGTAGTAGTAGCAGTAGTAGTTGTTGTTGTTGTTGGTGGTGGTGGTGGTGTTTGTCGTTTGGTGTTGGGTGTTGGGTGTTTGGTGCTTGGTGTGTAGTGTTTGGTGTTTGGTGCTTGGTGCTTTGTGCTTGGTTTTTTGTGTTTTATATTTGGTTTTTGTTGTTTTGTGTTCGGTGTTTGTGATATGTTGTTTGGCGTTTCTTGCGTGGTGTTTGGTGATTGGTGCTTGGTCTTTGATCTTTGGTCTTTGGTCTTTGGTCTTTGGTGTTTGGTGTTTGGTGTGTGGTGTTTGGGGGTTGGTGGTTGGCGTTTGGTTTGTGGTGTTTGGGGAGGGCGGGAAAACCTGCAAGGGTCTCGCCCGGAGAACTAACCGACCGGGTATTTGTCTCATTTCGCCCGGAGAACGAACCCTTGTCCCGGAGAACGAACCCTTTTTCCCAGAGAAGATTTGTTTCCCGGAGAGGGCGGGCCTGGCCGACGAAACATACGAAAAAAGCAAAAATCGGGGGAACCAAAAACGCTGCGCCTTTTATTGTAATTTTGTTTCTAACCGTAAACCAAAGCACACAACAAAAGACAATATGGAAACACAAAAACATTTGTTTTCACTAGTTTTACACATGTACAATTCGATTTCCACTGTGCGGCCATCAAATAGAATCCCATTGCGCCTGGCTCGGGGGGACTGGGTGTGCCTGGCCGACGAAAAAACAAAAAAGACAAAAAGGGCAATTGGTGGGACCAGAAACGTTTTGTTTTTATATGTAAATGTGTTTTTATGTATACCCCCCCAAACAAGACAATATGGAAGCAAGGGAAACGGGTGTTTTCATATTGTTTTGGCACGTACATGTTGATTCCCATCGCGAGGCCGCCAAACCGCATTCCTTAATAGGAATCATTGTGTAGAGTCCCACAAAGGTATTATGTGTGATGGCCGTACAAATCGAAATCAATGTGTAGATGCCTTTGTGGGGTTCTACGAAATGATTCCGATTAAGGAATTCTGCTTGGTGGCTTCGCAATGGGAATCAATGAGTAAATTCCCAAACGCTGTGAAATTACAGGTTTCCATTGCTTCCATATTGTCTTTTTTGTTTGTTGTGTACACTTAAGAACAACATGACAAACAACAATGCAGCGTTTTTGGTCCCCCAGATTGTCTGTTTTGTCGTTTTTGCTTCCTTTTGTTCGTCGGCCAGGCTCCCCTCTCCCCCCAAGCCAGGCGCAAAGTGATTCCATCTGAAGGCCTCACAATAGAGATCCATTTGTAAATTCCCAAAACGCTTTGAAAATAAAGGTTTCCGTTACTTCCAGAGTGCCACATTTTTTGTTTGTGTGTGTGCGTTTCGTGCGCAATTGCAGAACAACGCAAGTTAAAACGCAACGTTTTATGCCCCCCCAGATTGTCTTTTTTTCTCTCCCCCCCGAGCCAGGCGCAAAGTGATTCCATCTGAAGGCCGCACAATAGGAATCAACGTGCGAGTCTGTGCAACATGATTTCTTTTGTTTCCCACACTTTGGGAACAAATTTGTAGAACCCCACAAAAGGGGTTCTATTGGGTGGCTTCACAACATTGTAATCAGTTCGAAATTCTGCCCAAAAGAATCACACGTGTACCCTACACTTTAAAATCGATTCGAAAGTCTGGACGCAGGGATTCCACTTGTCTTCCACACACGAGCAATCAATTTGCAAAATCTCCCCAGCGAGATTATGTTTGAATGCAGCGCAACAGTGATCAAGCAGCGTCGCCGCAAGCGCGAGACGAGCAACAGTCACTGAGGATGCTACGCGAGGGGTCCCAGGTGCTCTTGAGAGCCCTTCTTAGAAGGGGCCACACCAATGTCGAACGTCTAAAGGGTTCAAGGCAGAAGGCCCCGAGAATGATCAAATAAAGCGTTTGTGGTCCCACATATTGTTTTGTTTGTCTTTTTCGTCGTCCAGGCCCCCCCTCTCCCCCCGAACCAGGCGCAAACGGATTCCATTTGAAGGCCGCACAATAGGAATCAAGTTGTACATGCCCAAACACTGCGAAACTACAGGTCCCCGTTGCTGTAACCTTCTTTATTTGAAAAAGAAGTTCTTTTCGGTTTGGATTTGCAAAAACCAATGTGCAATTAAACATGTGCGAGTCTTCACACAAGGATCCCGTTGATTCCCCACACCATGGGAACAAGTTTCTAGTACCCCACAAAAGGGGGTCCATTGGATAACCTCACAACGAATTGTAATACATTCGTAATTCTGTTTAAGAGAACCGCAAGTGTACCCTGCACTTTAGGAATCGATTCGAAAGTCTGGACAGGGATTCCACTTGTCTTTCACACACGAGCAATCAATTTACAAAATCTCCCCAACGAGATTATGTTTGAATGCCGCGCCATAGTGACCGATTTGCAAAACCCGCAGAAACATATCCTGTTTGTAACCCGCATAATATTCATCCATTGGCCAATTCCCATGGAGGATGTCCACGTGTGGGACGCGATGGATTCCTTTGTGACTCACTGTTTTATGGGCAAGGCAGCGTCGCCGCAAGCGCGCGACGAGCAATGATCACTGAGGATGCTACGCAAGGGGTCTTGGATGCTCTTGAGGGTGCTGCCGAGCGCCTCCTTCGACGAGGCTGGCATGATGGCAAGAGCAAGCCAATTTGAGCCAAGAGGGGCTACGGAAGCGGGAGGGTGACAGAGGGGGAACACGAACCGACAAATCAAGCTTTCAACCCGGAGACGCCCCCAGAACGCTCAAGCCCCAAAAGGCCCCCACGAGTCCCGTAAGAGTCCCCCACGGCGGCCCCCAAAAGGCTTCAAAACTGCCTCCAAGAGGCCCCCGAGAAGCTTCCCACGATACCCCAACGGTCACCACCATTATCACCATATGCATCATCATCGCATCATCACCATCGTCATCTGAATCGTCATTATCATCATCATCGTCGTCATCGTCATCATTGTTGTCATGTTGTTCATCCCTCGCGAGTGCCGTCTCCAGTGCCCCCATCGAACGAGAGCCGCCGAGCATGCCAGAATAGCACACTGGCAGGATTTGCCGCAGACAGCTAAATAATAAACAAGCGGCCCGAAAGAGAAGTATCATAGCTGACATGAGAAAGGAAGCCATATGGAACAACAACAACGAGGAAAATAGATCACAGGAGGTGCTCTTAGCATACACACACATATTTATATATATATATATATGTATATGTGTATATGTGTATGTATGTATATACAGACAAATAGACGCACATCTATACATCAGGCGATCGTAACACATGGATCAAGGGGGCATGGGTTAGCAACGGGTCCCGTTTCCGTGGGCAGCCCTGGATCTCCGCCGCCGAGCGAGGCGGCCCCGGCCGCATTTTGATGAAACTCGCCTGGAGGAACGGCGCCTCCTTGAGGGAGGGGCGACCCCGCATTGTGGCGACCCCCCTCGGCATTGCCCCGCGCATCCTCTCTCGTGGCCTTCTGCGCCCCCTCCCGCACTCTTTCCCGCCTCTGGCCGCCCCCCCCTCCCTGAGATCTTGGCGACCCCATTCTTCTCGAACCCAGCGTTTTTGCATCGTTTCGGGCCCCGGGACCCTTACAGCTCGATCCGGCTCGAAAAACGGCCACTTTGAGCCTTTGAGCATGATTTTTTCGATTCCACCAGAGAAGAACCCCAAGCAGTGGATGGTTTTGTTCGATGAGGAGATCGACCAGAAACCCAGGAACCCGGAACCCGCCGAAATCGGCCAGGAACCAGAAACCAGGAACTCGGAAACAGGAGCCCGGGAACCCAGCCGGCCACCAAAATTGGCGGGACATTTTCGCCAAATCTTTCATTTCCGCTAGGACCACTTCAGTGCAAGCACTGGCACGCCGGCTCGCCGGCTGCCCCGCGCCACGAGGACGGATTCGCCTTGGAGGTGGACGAGCCGCTGCAGTACGAGCACATCGGGGAGTGGTACTTCCACGAGGCCATATCTCTGCCCTGGATGATAGATGAATTGTCGGGCTTCCGCGCAATTTTCTCGGATCTGCGCTGGATCCCCCCCTCCCCTGGCGGCGCCTCCTGCGCGGCCCCCGGTACGCTCCGCGCGCTGGGGAGGGGAGCCTAGTGCAGATTCAAGAAAACCGCGCGGAGCTCCAGAGGTTAACGTATATGCAGTTGTTCCCTTTTGTATTTCCCCTGCCCTTCCAGGGGGGGGAGAGGGGGAGGAGGAAGGGTGAGGGGAGCTGGTGGGGGGGGGTAGGAGGAGGGGGAGGAGGAGGAGGATGATAAGAAGGAGGAGGAGAAGGCAGGAGGACGAGGAGGAGCAGGAGGAGAAGGAAGACAGGGACCCGCTTGTGGCGCTGGCTTATTGGAGGGAGAGAGAGAGAGAGAGAGAGTGTGTGTGTCTGTGTGATATACATATCTTTGTATATATACATTAAAAAGAGAGGGAGAGAGAGAGAGAGAGAGAGAGAGAGAAAGGGAGAGAGAGACAGAGCATGGGAAGTGAGATGGATAAACACATACGTCCAGCCTGTTCCGCACATCCCTGTCCACTGCAGCCGTACTTATTTTTCTATTATCACATGATGCGTTCCGCGTGGGAGAAGTATGGCACAAGTCGGTCCGTCACAAAAGAGGACGAGTAGAGGGACAAGGGGGAGGAGGGGACGAGGGGCAGGAGGGCAAACAGGACAAAGAAGAGGAGGTGGAGGAGGAGGACGCCAAGGAAGAGGTGGAGGAGGAAAACACGAGGAGGATGGTGAGGAGGAGGAGGAGGAGGAGGAGGAGGAGGAGGAGAAACAGAAGGAGGAGGAGGAGCAGGAGCAGGAGCAGGATCGGCAAGAGGAGCAGGAGGATGAGGAGCGAGGAGGAGGAGGAGGAGGAAGAACATGGAGGTGCAATTCCACTACTCTCACCCAGTCCCATGGAGAAGGGGGGGGGGGCGTCAGCAGGTGCAGCGAAGGATGCATTAAGTAGGAGCGAGGAAGCAGGATGGGGAGGAGGAAGGGGAAGCAGGAGGGAGGAGCCAGGAGGCAGGAGGAAGGAGGCAGGAGCGAGGAGGAAGGAGCGAAGAGGGAGATATTAAGAGGATAATGGGGCGGATGGGAGGTGGTTGGGAGGAGCTTCAGGCTGGATGGGGGTGGAGCGCTTTTGGTCCGCAGAGGGTTCGACCAGAAGCTGCTTTCGTTCCAACTCCGTTCGCTTCTCCGTTCTCTCCCTCTTCTCGTCTCCTCCCTCCTCCTCCCGGGGAGAAACAACAAACCAACACGCAAACAATCAATTCAACGCAACAGCAGCAAGGCAACGCAAGCTAATCACTGTTCTGGGGAGCTCAGACTGCGAGGCGACTTCGTCCGAACCATGCTTGTTTGCCTTTTGCCTTGTGTTGCTTCTCCCGGGGTGGCGAAGGAGGAGGCGGCGGAGGAGGCGATAGGAAGAGATATCCTTCTCTTCGTCCTGCACGTCCTCATTGCACTGACCATGTTCATGCTCCTTGAATTCGCATATCTCCTGTTGGGGGGGAGGCGATTTGAGGAGGAGGAGGGGGGGGAGGAGGAGGAGGAGGAAGAGGAGGAGCAGCTCAAACCCAAGAGTCATCAACGATGTTGGAATCACCTCTCCCTCCAAGCTCCCTCTTCATAGGCCCCTACAAAGGTTCATCTCCATTGCGGGAACTGCCTCGTTCGAAAAACTGTTTGAAGGCCCTCAAGCATGTTAAAGCATGCCAGCGCCACGGATGAACCTGACTGTTGCGTCTTGACGACCCTGAATCGCGCAAAAACGCCAGTCTTGGGATTTCACAGCGAATCAACGTAAGTTTCAAAACACCAATTGTGGTACGCTGGTGGTGGGAACCCGTGAAACTCTTGCATACTGTATCGACGGCTGTGCGCGGCGTTAAGGCGAGAGCTACATTTTGAAAAGGACCGCCCTCAATCCGTGAAGTTCTTGTAAATTTCAACAGTTCATGCGCGAGGGCGAGAGCAACGTGTTGAAAAGGAGCCGCCCTCAATCCGTGAAGCTCTTGCAATTTGTTGTGAAGAATGTGCACCGCGCTCAGGCGAGAGCCACATTTTGAGAACGGGTTGTCGTCAATCCGTGAAGTTGTTGCGAATGTGTACAACGAATGTGCGCCGCGCTAAGACGAGAGCCACATGTTGAACATCACCCGCCCTCCAAATGTGAAATTGTTGCCAATTTGTTCAGCTTCACAGTCATAAGTGGTGAGGAAGTCTCAGGCGAAACCTTGGGCCGCCCTACAACCTGGCCTCGGGGTGCGACAGGGGGGCAGTTGCTTATACAGAGTATACGGGAAATCCATGGAGTAGGAGGAAGGGTGATATGATGAGTAGGCGGAGCAGAACCAGGAAAGGAAAACACCCTTCCTCATTGCCATGCTTCCCCCCTCGCCTCTCCACCGTCATATACCACCAGCACTTTGGCGGTCTATGGAAGGAGGAGGAGGAGGAGGAGGAGGAGGAGGAGGAGGAGGAGGAGGGGGAGCAGTGTAAGCCCAAGGCTCAGCAACGATATTGCAATCAACCCTCCCTCCAAGTTCCTTCGCAACAGGCTCCTACACGGAGTCATTTTCACTGCGGGAAATGCCCCGTTAGAAGACACCCGTTGGACAAATTGGAATTGTGCCAGAGCACCATTCCTGGGACTCCAACGCGCGAATCATCGTGATTGTTGCGCCCTGGCACCCCGACATCGTGCCAAAGCACAATCCCTGGGATGCCAACCGTGAGATTCCTTGAAACGCTCGCAGACTCTTATGACGAATGTGCGCGGCGCTAGGGCGAGTGCCACATTTTGAAAACGGACCGCCCTCCGCCCTTGAGACTCTAGCATGTCTTAAGACGTGCGCGCAGCGCGAAGGCGAGAGCCACATTTTGAAGACGGACCGCCTTCCATCCGTAAAGCTCATATAAATCTCAAGCTTCAGGATCACGAGTGGTGAAGGTGTCTTAGGCGAAACGCCCGGCCCTTTCGATTGGCCTCGGGGTGCGACAGGGAGTTTCGCACAAGAAAATGGACTGGAGGAGGAGGGCCGCTCCGATGACCCGTGGTCAGTTTCCAAAAACCGAAGGCCTCCCATTGTGGGAGGGTTGAGAATGGGCCTCAAACTAGGCCCTTCATGAATTTCTTGTCCAGAAAATTCTGACCAGAGGGAGTGCGCGCCTGGCACTCCTTTAACAAGTTCTGACTGCTGCGGGTGGCGTGGGACCCGCAGCTCAAACACAGGAAAGTCCTTCTCTGTGTGACCACCATCTCGTGCGACGGGTGCAGGAACGAGGCCCCGAGAAACGCCCCGCGCACAGATTTCACGCCGTGGACGGGTCCAGACCAGGGCTCGGCGGGCACACAGGGGGTTCTCAGAAATTCTTGTGAGGGCTTTGCCCCGTGCGAATTGATCGAGACCACCGACAAACACTTCGCACATTGAAATCTATTACCAGCTTCGACATGCTGCGTCTCATGACTACTGTCCGCCATGAGTTTAGCCATCTTTGGGCCGAGCATCTGCTTGGGACCAGGGGCCTTGGGTTTCGGCTTCGGCTTGGGCCGAGGCCGCCGTGGGATCCTGGGGCCAACATCCTGAGACTGCTCGGCATACCTACTTAGGAAAACGTCGGTGGCTCGATTCCTATAACCTTTACTCTTAGACAGGGCGAGACCGAGCTCTACAGCTTCGACCTCACCTGGGGATAATTGGTGCCTGCTCACTACATCGTCTGCTAGCTTGTCCGCTAAATAATTGCCGACAAACGCGAAAACAGGCGTGCCTTTCAGAGCCGCTCTCTCAGCAGACATAGGTGATTCGATTTTCAAGACACTGATCGACCGTCGAACGACTGCAGCGCGGACTCTCTTCCATTCGTTTTTGTACGTATCAGGGAACATACCGTTCTGAACCTCCAGGAAACCTTGGGAAACCGACGAACTGTCGGTGACGTAGATCAGGTAGGGGCCCACAGGGGAGTCCTCCAGGAATCTCAAGAAGGCTAACATCTCCCCGTGATGTATAGCCTGCTCGTTCCGGACTGCTCCTGAAACTTGCCTGGCCACTTCGAGTCGTGGTTCCATTTCGGAGATGTCGAACTGCTTGGTCACTATGTAGGCCCAAGCGACTCTCCGAAACATGTCAGGTGACGAGTGCTTCCCGCCAGACGCGTCACCCGTTCCCACCAGGATGCCTGAGGAGACTGGAAGTTCGCCGTGTGCGTGAAACTCGGCGTCGTCCTCAAACGGTGTGGGGGGGGGTCACTGATGTCCAGGCAGCAGGCGTAACACCTCTCAGCCATAAGGACGGCTGGGCCTCGTGTTGTGTGTAAGCGCGGGGCAGCAGCAAGTCGGTCGATGCGACCGCGGGCAGCTCCTTGCTGCATCGACACCCCATATCCTGTGAAAGTTATTCTCCTTCTCCTCCCCACATCTGTCGCACAACTCTGAATAATCCTCAGGCAATTGACATACCTGCTTGATGCGGGTGCGGGGCCACTGGCCTCCTGTGGAAACTGCGAGCAGAGATCCTGCCCAAGCGTACTGGTCGGCTGCTCTAGCAGCCTTCAACTGTTTGCGTACGTCTTCAAGGTACACCCCTGCTGAGCACTGCTGCTACGTCTTCGCTCTCGCGATGGCTTGCTGCTTTCCTCCAAATCCTCCCCCTGACCGAACTGGCGAGCTCCCGCTTGAGATCGTTTATGTCGAAAACCTTTGATTCCAGTACCTCCTCCGTCGCCAAAAACTGCTCCCCTTGGTCCGAGGTCCAGTCCCAAGGCCCCGTGGGGTCCCAATTGAGGTCCAAGAGAGTATTGATGATGGCCCTCGCGGGCCCAGTAACTTTCCTCCAAAGGCGCTGTGTTCGAGCTCGAGCCCGCGCGAGATGGACATCGCAATCTCGAAGGGCAAGGGTGCGAGCTCTTGCTCCTGGTGTGATAATAGTGAGCTAAGAATCTAAAGATCGAACCACTTGCGCCA